ATATCTTCATGAAGATTTCAAATTTTCTACAATAAATTTACATAAATATTGTAAGGAACAAGATCTGGAAATTGCCACCATTCAAATAAAAATAAATGAGGTTAAGATAATTATATTCAGTATATATAGAGCTCCACTGGGTAATTCTGATTACTTTATTAATAAACTTGATTATATACTTAATTTCTTTCATAAATATAATTTGGAATTTATAATATTTGGGGATATAAATATAAATTACCTGGAATCAAGGAGTAAAAAAAACTAAATTAGATGACATGTTAAATACTTATAATTTAATGGGTACAGTGTATTTTCCCACAAGAATCGGTAATAATTCAGCTACCTTGATTGACAATATATTCATTGATATAAAAGAAGTTATACCATAAAACCATGTATAAATTGATTATCAGACCAGGACGCTCAGCTTATTATACTCAATAACTTACTTATGCCTAATCAGACACATGAGACTATCTACACTAGAAACATTAATAATAATACTATCACGGAATTTCAATCCCTATTAAGTTGGGAAGTTTGGGATATGTATTTGGTAATAATGTCAATATTATGTTTAATAATTCTCATAATATGTATTTAAGTTGTTTTTATGCTTGCTTCACTAAAAAAAAAACAGATTAGTCTTAATAGTAATCATAGTAATTGGATTACTAAAGGGATAAGAATCTCATGTAAGAAGAGAAAGAGAGAACTTTCATTATTATGTAGACACATAGTAATGACTCAAGTCTAAAAACATATTTTAAACAATACTGTAAACTATTATCAAATGTAATTAGTGAGGCAAACAAATTATACTATAACAGAATCATTACTAATTCTAACAACAAAATGAGAAGCAGCTGGAAGATAATAAATGAAGAAAAATGTAAAATAAAATGAGATAGAGGCATGCATTCTATTGTGAAAGATAATATACTTATGACCAAACAGAATGAAATTGCTGATGTTTTTAATAAATATTTTTTGTCTATTGCGGATTCTGTTATAGCAGATACTAACAAATATGCAAGGACAAGTATAACTAATCCAGTTACTTATTTGACAGATGTTTTTAATAGAACGTTTTCAAAGATGAGTTGACAATGTGCCACTACTCACGAAATTGGAAAAAAAATTATAGAAACATTAAAGATGAAGAATTCTTGTGGGTATGACGAGATTTCAAGTAGAGTGCTCTATACATAATTTCACCATTAACATATATTTATAATGCTATTTTGAGTACCAGTGTATTCCCAAATAGATTAAAATATGCTTTGGTTAAGACTTGTTTTAAATAAGGAAACATACCGGAAATAGCCCATTACAGGCCTATATCATTGCTGATTGCTTTATTGAAAATTATTGAAAAACTCATTTTCTCGAGATTAATTGCACATATTGAAGCGGATATATTTTGGCTCCTGAACAGTATGTATTTAGGGCTCATCTTTCGACTGAGGTGCACATATTGAAGCGAATATATTTCGGCTCCTGAACAGTATGTATTTAGGGCTCATCTTTCGACTGAGAAGGCAGCCTTCTCACTATTAGACAGTATTCTTACAGCTATGAATATTTTTTCCAAATTAATTGCGCATATTGAAGTGAATGTATTTTGGTTCCTGAACAGTATGGATTTAGGGCTCATCTTTTGACTGAGAAGGAAGACTTCTCGCTATTAGACAGTATACTTACAGCTATGAATGATATTTTGGCTCCTGAACAGTATGGATTTAGGACTCCTCTTTTGACTGAGAAGGCAGCCTTCTCACTATTAGACAGTATTCTTACAGCTATGAATATTTTTTCCAAATTAATTGCGCATATTGAAGTGAATGTATTTTGGCTCCTGAACAGTATGGATTTAGGACTTATCTTTCGACTGAGAATAAGAAGCAAACTGTGGGAGGTGTTTTTTGTGATTTGCAAAAGGCTTTTGATTGTGTCAATCATGAAATATTATTGGATAAACTCAAATTTTATGGAACAGGAGGTACTTTCAAAAAATTAATTAAATCATACTTAACTGGTAGATGTCAAAGAGTTGTACCGGACCATAAAAATAATAGCAATAAAATATCCTAGTGGGAAATAATCAAACATGGAGTTCCACAGGGCTCAATTCTTGGACCTCTGCTGTTCCTATTTTATATTAATGATTTAACCACAATAATAAATAAAGATGACACTAGTATTATAGTTGCTGATTCAAATAACTCAAGTTTTGAAACAAATCTTAATAAAACCTTTAAAGATATAAATGCCTGGTTTAATACCAATTTGCTTACTTTGAATTTCAGTAAAACTCAATATTTGGCTTTTTGATCTACAAAACATCATAACATCGTTACCCATATAAATTATGATCAGACATTTATCCCCAATGCATCGGAAACTAAATTTCTTGGTTTGATTATTAGAAGTATAACGAATGCTAAACCAAGAGATTCATGAAGGGAAATGTTTATGAAACTGGAAATAATGATGTTATATTCCCAGTGTGAAGTGTTGCGCTATGCGGGACACACCTCCCCCCGCCAGCGGTGACGTAGCACCATCAGAGCGGTGTCGTTACTAAGGTAACAGGCAAGTCAACACGCCTTCCCCTACCCTGCCAGCGGTGACGTGACCAAGGGATGCCGCGGTTGCTATAGAGCAATAAACAACTCCCGACAGCGTTGCTAGCAACACGGCACCAGACAACAGTGGTCCCTATTACGTGGCTGTTTTCTGTGTTGTCCGGAACGGGGCTAAATAAGGAGCAGCGAAGACTATTCAAGTTAGTTCGCAATATATATGAGACAAATTCCATCTTAAGTGCAACAATTTAATTGTAGTTCTTTCTTCTTCCCTTCCTCTACACTACATGTTTCGGCCCTAAATGGCCATCATCAGGTGTGTATTCTTACGTAGCTGCTACACTGCCCGTAGTTTAAAATTTAAAATCACCAGTCTTTCCAAGTGTATGTATGTATGTATGTATGTATAAAATCTTTTTTAACCTACACGCGTCAATTTGATTTCTAAAATTGGCACTTTTTTAAACTTCAATTCAAATTAAAATGTCTATAAATTTTCTGTTCTTTTTCTTTTTCCAATTTTTTTTAATTAAAATTCTCTTGGGGTACACGCCCTATGTCTATAGTGCTGCAGCGACCACTTCTTCTTTTATCGCTGTTCAGGTATTGTATTAAAGATAAGCAGCGACACACACACACACACAGAGAGAGCCTACACAGAACAATACCTGTTCTGAGTGTTCGAAGATGGGTGAAACATTTTAAAGATGGGAACACCAGCATTGAAGATGAGCCTCGGAGCGGTCGTCCTCGAACAGCCTCAACTGAACACAACAAGGAAAGAGTGGATGAGATCATTCAAGATGACAGGTGTGTGACTGTGGACACAATAGCCCGAAAACTTGGAATAGGGCACAGTGCAGTATAGGAGATGATTGAAAGCTTGGGCTATAGGAAAGTTTGTGCTCATTGGGTCACGCGGTTATTGACCGAAGACCACAAAGGTCGGTGAAAAGCCATCACCTCAGAACTGCTGCAGAGATATNCTGCACAAGCTCCATCATGCATTGCACGATAAACGTCCGGGACGAAACATCATCATCCTGCATGACAGCGCTCGCCCCCAAGCCACTCGCCTCACATTGGAAGCAATTGCAAAAATGGGTGGGAAGTTCTTCCACACCCCTCCTATAGCCCTGATCTGGCACACTCCAACTACCATCTTTTCAGATTTGTGAAGGATCAGTTGCATGGACAACGTTTTGAGACAAGGGAGGCAATTCAGAAAGCAGTGCGTCAGTGTCTTCAGATGGCTGGAACGGAATTTTATAGAAGGGGAATTTTCAAACTCCCAGAACACTGGGAGAAATGTGTACAAAGAAGTGGCGATATGTGTAAAAATAAAGAAAGGTCTGTAGATTGAGGTGGTGTATTTTGTTTGTGAATAATAAAGCATGTTACTTTAAAAAAAACTGTTGCTCATGACGTTCAGTATGACCCTCGTAACACTAGATTACACAGTAATTTACATGTACCTATAGTGAATATAACAATATTTCACAAAGGAGCGTATATATCAGAAATTAAAGTTTTCAATCATCTTCCTCAATCAATAAAATTTGGCCAATGATAAGAAATGTTTCATATCGATATTGAAGAGGTTTTTGTATCATCATCCTTTTTATTCTATAAATAAATATTTTCAATACAAGGATGACAAAGATGGTAATCTTGATACTTTTTGTATGGTTTTTAATGTATAACTTTTTACGCTGTTTTAACCTTTGTCTTTTCTGTCATCTTGACTGACAGGAGTACATTTGACTGGATCTGAGGTGCTCAGCTGATTGCCTGTATTAATAAGTAACCATACTAGGACTGAAAATATCTATAATGTCATCTTCAGTTATTTTATCTCATAAGATATATGTAATTACAATAATTTATATTTGTATTCGTTAATTGAACTTTTAGTATACTTTAATTTTGAACTTTTGTGAAATGTATATGTTATGGTTGTGTTGTGCCAGCTTTTACGGGCTGTAATTCAATTGATTATAACTTGAACAACCTACACTTTCTTGTGGTTTGATTATCATCATGTATAATTTTGTTGTATGACTGTTCTGTATGTGACTGAGTTCTATTTTATGAACTGTTCTTGTGTATGTTTTGATTTAATAGTGACTTGTTCTACATCCTAGGCTTCGCTAAAAAGGATTTACTGAATTTAAAATAATAATAAAAAAAAAGCTTACCATGTAAAACTTCTGGGTTTTATTACCAGAGGGTGAGAGGGAGTTGTGCTCTAGGGAGAGCATTCCTATATATCAAACATTATCCCTTTCTTAGTTATATGGGCCGGGTGTGTTCAAACCACATGCTAGAAGGTATACTGAATGAAAGTCTTCCAATCTCCCAGCTGGCATGGTATCAACACCTCCCAATTCAACAAACGCTACAGCCTACCTGGACACGAGATGTTTGTCAAGATGACTGCCTGTCCGTAACACCACATCTTCACCTTGGTGAACCCACTTAATCACTTCACCACCAAACATATTATTTTCAGAATTTAAGGCCACAATGTGAACTGTCTTCACGCAAAGATAGATAATGGATTCATTTTCGGCGGGAAGAATGGCTGTCATATGGGCAACAGTTTGGGTTAGCCACACTAAACTGAATGTAGATGGTTCAGCACCAGAATCATTTACACTCACACACTCGGTACCTTTCTTCTGAGGATATGATGTAGATCCTACAGCCATCCCAGGAAAAAAGTTGTTGCCTTTAAATTCTAATAGTAATTTTCTAAAATATTCGTTGTCTGCATTTGTAATTAATGTCACATTTAATAATGAAATTGTATTCACCACTGGCTCTTTCTCTCCATGTACAGGAACTTCTATAGAGTACAAAATCACGAAAGTACACAACACTTTAACAAAACACCTTACTTCTGCCGCCATGATAGGCGCAACCACGGATTATTAAGTAGAAAATATCCGATTAATATTCCGTGGTAGCAATCGTAGCAAACTAGAACATGCATCATGGGCACCATGGTGGTGTATGGATGTTGGAAAGATTGTACTTGCACAGCCAGGAAAGAAATTCCAATCATTTTATGTTACATGCTAATTCATTACCATGTTCACAAGAGCACATTAATAATGTCTATTATGAGCCAGATGACGTCAGTCCACACCACCCTCCTATTTCTGTAAGATCCATTTCACTATTATCTTCCAATCCACATTGAAGTCTTTCTAGCAATCTTTTTCCTTCATGTTCTACCAAAACCCTGTATGCACGACTGTCTAACTGCATGTCTAACCATTTCACTTCCTTGACTTGATCATTCAAATTATATATGGTGAGGAGCACTAATTATCAAACTCTTTATGAAATTTTCAGAGGCCTCTAATTTTCACTCCACTTGGGTCCAAGTATTCTACTTAGCGCCCTGTTCTCAAACATCCTCAGTCTATGTCCTTCTCTTAATGTCAGGAATCTAGTTTCACATCCACATAAAACTACAGGTAAAATTACATTTGTATATATGATGAAATGAGAAGACAAAAGGTTCTGAATTGAATGGTAGTAGGCATTGCCTAAATTTAATCTGACAATGTCTCATGATCTGAATCTTGGATTTGTTACTTAACCTCATTTTCGAAGTATCCATTAGCTATATTTATGTTACAATTTTGTCCTTCTTTCTGGTGACAAAACAAGAAGATATAATTAGTATTCTCTGTTTTTACTTGTAGACCAATCTCCTTACTAGTTCCTATTATAGCTTCTGTTTTATTCTTTATGGTATTTATGTTATCATAGTCCAGAAGTTGTTATGTTCCATTAAATTTCAATTTTTTTAACAGGCTGTACTAAAACCACTGGGCACCACTAGCATATTCCCAGCCTCCCATCCCAGTTAAAAAAATGTCAATGACCTCAAAACTCTGTTACAATAACATAGTATTTTCAAATATGTGACCAAAGCTGCCACTGGTATTGAAATTCTTAAAATTTGTATTTACATTGTTGCATAATATGTTTAGGTTACTGATAATTAATGACCATGATATGAGCAAAGGATCAGTAGAAATTAATTTTCATATAACAAAAGCAAAGGTAAATTGAAAAGGGGTCTGTAAAACATGCTGCTCCTAAAATTATGTGGCTCCAGACTTGTTTGTCTGTGCTTCTGCCATGGATTTGATGCTGGGTGACACCACTGCAAGCACACAGGTATTGCATTTCTTACAAGTTCCATGAAACTTGGTCAGTCCATTCAAAGTTCATACACACACACACACACACAATGTATGGATGCGCACATTCTCGCTCCCCCCCCCTCTCTCTCTCACACACACACACACACACACAAATGCATGCGCAAGTGCATGCACACACAAACACACACCTGCATATGAAATGACAAATATAGAATCTATGCCGAGCTGCTGCAGATGCATCCAAGGAGAACAGAAATCTCTACCAGCATAATATCAAAGCTGGAGCCATGCAAAAGGAAAACTGCAAAAGAGAAGCGCACAAGTTCCCAAGGGACCCTCAGGGAGACCTTCTTTGAGTTAATCTCACCAGAGCAGTCATATGCAGAATATTCAGACAACAGGTCTGTCAGTACAGGTTCCCAGTTTGTCTAACAGTGACATGTTAAAAGTCACCACTGTAGTGCAACAGATCATTACAGAGCTCAGTGAAGATGTGTCAGAAAAAGACAAAATAATGGTCATTATAGGCTGCACCATAGCTCAAGCGGTTAGTCACTGGCTTCCCATTGCGGCGGCTTGGGTTTGATCCCAGGTCTGGTCAAGTGGGATTTGTGGTGGACAAAGTGGCGCCAGGGTGGGTTTTCTCTGAGTACTTCGGTTTCCCCTGCCAATCTTCATTCCACCAAATTCTCCATCATCAGAATCACCCGGGCACGTACAATAGGCCAATCAGTGGCCGCCATGCCGAGTGGACCAAGCTGGACTCCACCCCCCCACCCCACTAAGCAAAAAATTTAATGGTCATTACAGAAATGGTACCTAACTTAATGAAACAAAATGGCTACTAGATTTCATAGGTTGCTGAAATTTAATGCAAACTGCATTTGTAGGCGGCACTATGAGTTCAGTAAATAGCTGAAAGACTTACATATAAATATGGCTCTGCTCTCAGAGACACATCTTTGAACACGTGAGGTTCTCTATTCCAAATTTCCACTATTATCAGAATGATCACTTCCCACGAAGAAAAGGCATTCCCAATAACCATGTAGACCTATGCTATATCTATGCTCATATGTGCAATAAGTACACTTGAAAAGGACAGATCCTATTTGTAAGAGACCATCCTCTAGACAGAGAGGATGTTACAAAAGGACCATGACCACAAGGGTTTACTGCAAAAAAAAATAATCTCTGTTCATGATGCTCCAGGGGCTTGGTGCCAAGACGAACTGTGGTGGCCAACTGCCAGTCATAAAGCAATGCCGACTCTGACTCCGAATGAGTTATCTGTGGGACAGTCGCCAGCTGGTAAGAACATGCACATGGAAGAAGAGGACATTATTGAGATCCATCACCAGGCAATGACTGGTGAAGACACAGCAGATTGATAAGACTGAGTATGTGCTCTAGTGAATTGCAATGTGTTTGAATTAGCAATAGCACTATAGTTCCTTGTAGTTACAAGTTGTCTGTACAAGTGTACGATATATCCAATTACCAATCCAAAACCTGTCTATAGTCACTGCAACATGTGATTGTATGCTTCAAGCAAATCAGAGATGACATTACTGGAGATGCTGATGCATGATGGTGTGCTTTCACATTACCATGCAGGGTTTCATAAATTTTGTGTAGGTATTAGAACTAACAGGGATAGGTATAATGACATTAAATATTTTACACGGTGTAAAAAATGTAAAACTACTTATTGCTCCCCCTGTAATACAAAAAATATAAAACTCACAGTACTCAATACCATCCACTTGTACAGTGATGTTCTGCAGTACAGAGGCACACAGTTGGTTTGATTCTTCTTCTTGGTGGGCTGAGCCATTTTATAGCACTGATTTGGTGGCTTAGACTTATGAGTAGAGCACCATCTTGTAATAAAAGTGCATTTTCCAACAAGAATTCTCATGACTGCATACCATCATTACACATTATTTTTGCAGCTGCCAGACACACAGAAAACTTTCCTCAATCAGTACTCTAACACAAATTACAAAATAATGTTTGTTGTCACAAAATGTGGTTAGATTTGTTTTACTGATCCGGTAATTAATTTAGCAAATAAAAAGAACAAACTAGCTGACAGCTGCAGGATTTTTGTTTCTTGGTTTATTTAACAATGTCTTATCAACCTGAAAGATTATGATTAAAAGCACTATAAAAGAATATGGAAGGAAGCTTTACTAGCTTAGTTTACAGTGCTGACTATGGCAAACCCTGAAAACCTGTCAAGCAGAGAAGAAATAGAAGCACTAGTAGACGTACTGCAGGTTCTTTATTGCATGACTGAAGTACACATTACACACAGAGAAAATGTTTTTACAAATATCATGAATCAGAAAAGTGCATCATTTCATACAAATGTAAAGACACGTGAGACACATCAGTCTTTATACAAGTGCCAAGTACTCCCACCAGAGCAAGGCCAGAGCAGAGGTAGACAAGGAATGCAAAAGGCAGACTTGTTGATATACAAGCTGATGGAATGTGCTTTGGTCTCACACACAACTTGCCTCTTCACAAAATGCAACATATAAAATGTATGAAAATCAGTACAAAAACTTTAAAAATTTACAAACCTCTGGCAGGTTGTGTGTGTATAGCCATACCATGTGTCAGACCTATCTTGTGGGAGACTCAGCCAGGCTATGTACAAAATCATCATCAGGCAGGCAGGCAGGCAGGCAGGCGCGCGCACGCACACACACACACACACACACAGACAGGTATGTTGGTACCCAGGTGGTCATCGGGTGGATATAATAAATATCAAGGAAACAATGAAGATCATCATTCACTCTCATGATTTCCTTACATACAAAATTGTAAACTATACGCTTACTCAAATATTTGAACTTATACTCTGAATTACAGCATGTGCCAATCACATCATGATACAGTTCAAGTCATGAGGCTACAGTTCAGTGGCTTTCAATTTCACGCTCCTGGTTCAGTCACAAAATGTTATCACAAGAATGTTTTTTTTTGTGTTAAAAAATGTATGGAAGTTTAGTCTGAGTGTGGGAGGTTCTACTTCGAACAGATTTAGGGTCACTACAAGTGTTTGTAAACCAGTGCTTAAGTGGGTGTCTCCAGCTTCCTAGTATAATAATATGCCAGAATGCAGTCACCCATCCTAACAGTGACCATGCATATTATGAGTTAACTTCCACACTTTATTTTCATCTGACACTTTCTAAAAGTCCTACAGTTTGACTTATAAGAATGAATGAGAATTCTTCCCTTATCATGACCAAGCTATCACTGTGAAAGCTGTAACAAAACTTTGTCCATTCTCTAAATTTGAATCACAAGTTACAATCATTCAACCAGATTCCTTTAAATGGCATCTGTTGTTAGAATACTAGCCACCCGATGACAAGATTTCTGCTTTGGTTTTGATATAAAGAATGAATATTTTCACATGACTGAGTACAAATATTGTATGTGCAAATTATTCGCTTACTTTGACAGCCACAAAAACTATGTACAACTGGCTATCAGCAAACAGTAAGCATCACACACAACATGTAGACAGATGGAGAGAATGTTCGTTGTGATGTCAGAATACCATGTCGACAACATGGGTCCTTACTGTGGCAGCATATGAATGCTGAATAGAAAAATCTTCTAACTTCCATCATCATACACAGACAGCAATGCATTAAGTAAGACACAGAACAGTTGCAAAACTTCCAGCCAGTCAAGTCCACATCATTACATCCTACTTTTCTAAAATGCATTTTAATATTATCTTCCCATATCCTTCCATTTTTCAAATGATCACCTATATGCATTTCTTGGTTTTACCAATGTGAGCTATACATGCATAAATTCCTTCATTTAACTCCCATAACAATACTTAGGAACATAAATTCACAAAATCCTTTGTTATGTAACTTCCTCTATTCCCAACTTTTTTCTTTCTCTTAGGTTCTTGGAATTTTACATTCAGATACATATAGTTTTTGTTCATCCATCAATGTGCAAATCCATATTTCACAACTAGACATAACAAAATGTGGTTCTATGTACCATATCAAGTGTTTTCAAAAGCACGTGAAACAATAAGCATTTCTTGAATTTACCGTTGACTTAATTTCATTGAGTCTTATGTCAAATTAAGTTTTGAAGCTGTTATTATATTTCACATGATACTACAGTCTGAAAAGTATTCCAGGCATTATGAAACAAATTTGATCAGCAAGATCCTCTATCCTTTATAATTACTCCATATGATGTTTTGGTTAGAATAAAATTTCCTGAAAGGGAAGTTAGATACCATATGAAAAGTACAATTTCAGGTCATGTTCTTGAAAGAAGTTTGAATATCTGAATTAAATGAGACAAGAAGTTAATCTTCACTATAATGTCACATCTTCCAGATGTTAGGATTCTGTAGCCTCTACACAAATATATATAATGTAACAACAAGTTGAATTTTAATAAATCGTAAACAAGTTCCAGAATGAGTAATTTATTTGTTTCCAGGGTCAATCGCTGCATATGTATGAGGAATTAATATCACATAATTTTCTCTATATATGATTCACTTAAAACATAAGACTGAGAAGCCTTGTTGCTGAAGTGATCCATTCAAACTCATTGTGCTTGAATAAAATGCAAACTTTATACTGTAAAAAGCAAAGTTTGCATTTTAAAGTGCCAGGAAAACTGAGCTCAAGCCCAGAAATCTTGAACCAGTATTGTTCCTTTACAATTGTAGATTTCTTACAGCATTAATATTCTTGCAAAAAAAATGACTGAACTATACAACATGGAGGTATGCTTTTGGTCCACTGTATGTACTCGTGCATGGAACCTGTCTCACTTGCTGCTGTCTGTTATTTATTACATGCCATCTTTATGTGTGCGGCAGGTACTGATCTGAGTCACCACTTGATGCCATGGAGAAGTTGGCTGAGTCCCGGTCCTGCTTGTGTTGCAATGGGCTGTACTTGTGAGGGAAGGTGTGGTGTCCCCCAGACAGCCCTGTACTGGGCACTACTCCACTAGCACAATGGTGCAGCCGCTTCATGAATGGATTAAAGAGACGTACATGTGAAGGAATGGTTGTGTGCTGACGGGGGATGCTGGGCCCACCTGTAGGGAGAGGCATGGTGGAGCAGTGTGGGTATACTGTGGCTACTTGTTGTGTAGGGTACAGGGGAAGTGTGGCAGCAGGGTGGTCTGTAAATGATGTCATGCGCATGTTGGTGGAGCGGCCAAAGGGCTCATCTGTTGTTTTGGGGCGAGCCTGCTTGCTGCGCCGAATCACTACAGTGCTTTCTGCAACATGGGGTGGTGGGGGTGGCACCACATTACGCTGTAGTGAGAAGCTGCGCCAAGGAGGAGAAGGCTGCCGTGACGACTCCATTGTTAGGTCATCTACACTTGTGGATCGTGGCTTGTGAGTCTCAGAGCTTGAGTTGGAGTGCACACCACTAGAAGTCTCACTATGACTTGGTGGAGAGCCTCCTGAGCTATCAGAATCAGAGCGAGGAGTCAGTTCATCATGAGGCATTCCTGAATCTGCACGGCGTAGACAGCGTGGTGTGGTGGTGACTGGCTGCAACACAAGCACTGAATGTAAGGCTGACAGCTTGATTCAGTATACTCTGAGCCAGTCTGTGGCAGATATTCTACTACTTCACATTCTGAGCCAGTCACAAATGTCTGGCTTTCCTCAACATAAAATTATACTTACTCATGTGGAAGAATTAGGCTGTTCTCACTATAGTCTGATATCATAGTGCTTTACAACTTGACCCTCTCACCTACAAACATCAGGTTGTTCTCACCTCTCCTGATATTACACTGCACTACACTCACAAACACTCACCTATAAGTGTCAGATGTTAGTGACACCCCAGTTCATTCTATATTACTCACCTGCTCTGAGTCTGCAGTGCTGCTATGCACCACTGCTGTGACAGGGGCAGTAGCAGGAGTGTCACGTGAGATTTTAGGAGGTGGCAACTCATTATGAAATGGCTCTGGGGTGAGGAGGGGGCTAGGGTCCTCATAATCTCCTGGTGTGAGATCTCGGTTTGTGCGAGCATATGTGATGCTGTCATCCCTCAGTGCAGAGTCCAGGAGCTGCAGAGGGCAGGACAGTACAGTTAGAGGGTAGCACTAACACCATTATAGGTCAGTTACAGGGTAGTGAATACAGTTACTGCTTAGCATTTCTACAGTTAGAGGACAGCACTAAAACACCCAGAGGTTATTAACATAGCAGCATACAGCTCGTGATCAGGGAAGTACAGTCTCTACTCTGACAAATGATATGTTCCTGGAGAGAAACATTTTGTAATGCAAATCACTCTTTCCCATAGCTGTAATATTATAACTTGGGGTTCTGTTCCTCAATGATTAAGTTAATGATAAAAAATGTCATTCTTGTTTGGAAGAAATTCTGGATGAGTGATTTATTTATGTCTGGATGACAAGCCAAACTGCGGGTATGCACTTCCTTATAATAGTTCATATGTGCAAAATGTCATAATACAAACCTTCATATGGCAAGCAATATGTGTAAGTCAGTACCTTGTTCTCCTCAGACACAGTGTCACTTGGAATCTCCCGTAGGGTTGCATAGTCACCATCATCCTCCTCACTTTCAGTCAGCTGGTCGAGTGCCTTGTTTCCCTTACTTCCACCAGACTTTGCTAGCAGTGACTTGCCCTTCCTATGATAAAAAATTCCACCTCTGCTTTGGGCTGACAGAACATCTTTCAACTTGAAATTACAAATCATGGATCCAAATTCAACCTATCTATTCATAAGCTGATGTTGAAACATTACACCCAAAGATCCAGTAATTCATTACTTCTGTTTGGAATAAGGAAAAATTACTACAGCAGTGGAAGAAATCTGTTATTGTACCTATTTATTAAAAGGGTGATATAGAAGACTGTAATAATTATTGAAGTATATCATTGTTATCAATTTTATATAAAAATGTTTTCATCACTCTTTTCTTAAGGTTAATGCCATATGCAAATGAAATTATTGATGATTATTACTGTGGAAAATACCTCAACTATAGATGAGATATTCTGCATTCATATATACTGGACAAAAATAAATGAATAGTGGGATAGTACAGCACTTAATTACAGATTTCAAGTAAGCCTATGATTCAGTTATGGTGGTTATGCTGTTTTCTCATTGAATTCAACATACAGTGTGGTTGCATTTTGTACAAGTGATGCATTCCTGAAGACCTCACACAATTACAGACAAGTTTTGAAACACAATCGTGATTCTTGCCAATTTTTTTTTTCACATTATTTTAAACTTTGTGCAAAAAGTGACACTTTATTAATATTCTTTATATCGCACTATTTCAAATTTGCATAAAGTGCCATTGTATTGTATCCATAAAACAGTTAGGGTAATTACAAGTATTTAAATGACACCTACAGTAAGGAAACATTTGTCTGATGTGTTCCCTACTCAGAATGGTCCACAACAAGGTGATTCCCCATCATCATTTCTTTTTACCTTTGATTTCAAATTTACCATTTGTAAGGTCTATGAACACCACTAGAGACCGAAACTGAATTGGATAAATCAAGCTTCTATTCTATGCTGATGATGTTAACTTACTTTGAGGAAACACAAATGCCATATAGAAACAAAAAGAGCTTCAATAGATGCTACAGACACTAGTAAGGAAGATGGTCTAAAAGTAAAAACAAAAAGAACAAAGTTTATGTTGCTCTTTCTTCACCATAATGTAAGTTTTCTAAAGAAATGGCAAAGTTAAAGAAAATAGGAATGACTGTTATGAAATTAAAACTGCATTCAAGAAGAAATCAACAATATTATTTAATACCAAGCTCATTTCCATATTTATTTAAAATTAAGAACTGCTTAAGTTCTAATAATAATGCTCCCTGTCATTCAGTTCAGAATCTTGTCTATACACCTGCTATCTAAAAACATTAAGATTATAATATGTAGAGTTCTAAATTTATTTGTACGCTCATAAAACTCGGTCTCTCACATTGAAGGATGGACATGGACTGAGGGTGTTTGAAAACATGGCACTAACAAAAAGTGGACGTGACAAGAGGCTGAAAAAATTTACATAACAAAAAGCTTCATAATTTGTAGCACCTGCTTTGCTCCCTGGAGGTGAGTTTGGTGTCTGCCTGTAAATGACAATCATAATCACTTAATCCTATCCTGCTGCTGCAAGGGTTAGGTAAAACACTGGGAAAGAACCAACAAACATACGGGTGTTATAGTCACCCTTCATCACTGCCACATATGGACTCTTACCCCTTGGTAACACTGCCACTAACTCTCTGGGAAATAAACCTTACCACTTTCACAGCACCTATAAGAGAAAATGAAAGGAAAATTTTGGTAACATGTTGTAGCATGTAGACCCATTGCTAAGTAATGGCTCTGTAAACAACGCCCATTGCTAGGCAACAGATTCCTAACATACACCAATGGACTAACTGGAAAGCGGTGTTCTCTACATGGTCCATGTGACAGCTGCATTTTCTGGGCATTCAGTGCTGAGGTGTTAAAAGCAGGACAAGTCTACAGTTTAGTTAGTTGTGATACAGGCACCAGCCAGTAAGGCCATGAACACAGAAGCTGAGGAAGCTACAACATTGGAATCAGTTACCAGGCGATAACCAGTGAAGACAGAGAAGATTTAATATGTGCTGTAGTGAACTGCTGAGTGTGTGAATTAGTGATAGGGTTATAGTTACTTGTAGTTACGATCTGTAAGTGTTTAATAAATCCAATTACCAATCCAAACCCCATCTATAGTTACTCTATCATGTGACAGTCAAACTTCTTCCCTCTTCACATCATTCAGGCAGGTTAAGGGGCCCAACCAGCCTACTATCAGTACCTAAGGCTCTTTCCCCAGGGGTAAAGCAGCAGGGCCGTGAAGCTGACTACTCACCTCCAGCTAGTGCTGAGGTCAGGAATACATGGATCTATATACCCCCTCTCCCCATTCGTTTTCATGGCACAGAGCTAAATTAGTTAAGCACAGACACAACTTTACCTATTTGTACCTCATTCTTGTCCAACATAAAAATAGCTAATAGATCCTTTGAAAATGTGGCACAGTACCTACACAGTAGGCTCTTGTTTTAAGCCAGGGTTAAGTTCCTAGAGAGGACCAGGAACCTAGTGAATCAGCATAAAAGGAAGACAAATTATAATGGGATGCATTCCATGTATAAAAGAATTTAGACTCTCTTTCATAAAATAATATAAAACATTTAAATACATTAAACATAAACAAATATTATACAATACATGGATTTGCATCACATTTACATTGTACATAAATATGTAGGCTTTGCTGACATGAGGAATGCCCTGGCTGTGGATCATTAGGGTCAAGTTGATGATCTGCCATCTTGGATCAACTGGAGGCCCTTCAGATTTCTTTTTAAAATAAGAAAGGAGGGTTCTTTGCCTTGTTTGATGCCACTGCTCTGACAGAACATTGTAATAAGGATACAGCACTGCATTGATTTCTCTTCTAACAGGACAACTCTCTTCCCAGTCAGGATGAATGTTGCCTAACCTCTACAGATAACTATCAACCCCAGTCAGAATTTCCTGATGGCCACCGGTTTCTACAGACCATTAAATGGGCTCTTCTTGTTCTTGCTGCTGCTTGTATACCCAAAAGTAGCACTGCCATGAACAGATGCCCAATAGGGCTGCACAAGGACACTTCTTGATAGTTGTGGCATGATACAGAATTTTATAGAATTTTGGGAGAAAAAAATGGATTTACTGGAAAACGTTCAAACCAGTGGTATACAAATCAGCATATATCAAACCATCATAAATCAAGGGCTTTTTTTCTATTGCTAATGGGGTGGGACTAAGTCCCCTGTACTGCGGTCACTTCTGGCCTATCGTACCAGCCCAAGATGATAGGGGAGGGTGATTGTGGAGCAACTGGTGGAATGAAGATTGGCAGGGGAAACCGAAATACTCAGAGAAAACCTGCCCCAGCGCCACTTTGTCCACCACAAATCCCACTTTACCAGACCCGGGATCGAACCCGGGCCATCTCGGTGGGAAGCCAGCAACTAACCACTGAGCTATGGCACGCCCAACCAAGGGCTTACTGTATTTTGGAACAACAGTAAGAAATCAAAATTTAATATGTGCAAAAATTAAGAAGAGACTGAATTTGGGCAATGCTTGCTGTCATTCATTGCAGAACTTTTTGTCTTCTCATTTGCTGTTAAAAACATAAATATTAGGATATTCAAAACTACAGATTTTCCTGTCATTTTGCATGGGTGTGAATTTGGTTTCTGATACTGAGGGAGGAACATAGATCAAGGATATCTGAAAACAGGGTTCTAAGGAGAATATATGGACCAAAGAGGGATAAAGTGATATGAGGTTTGAGGAAACTGAATAAAGAAGAGCTTCATAACTTCCACTCTTTGCCAAGTATAATGAGAGTGATCAAGTCCAGCCGGTAGACCAGGTAGGCACATAAAATTTGGGTCAGAATACCGAAGGAAAGAGACCAATTTGAAGATTTGCATGTAGAGAGGAGTGTAACACTAAAACAGATATTAAAGAAATAGGGTGTGGAAGGGTGTGGGTTGGATTCATCTGGCTCATGACAGGCAATAGCAGTGGGCTCATGTAAACATGATAATGAATTTTCAGCTTCCATAGAATCAGAGGAATTTCTTGATTAGCTGGGTAACAGTTACCTAGAAGAACTGTTTTCCATCAAGGGAGGTAGTTATGTATTTGTTAGTGATTCTGGATATATGAGAAAAAGAAGACCAGAAGGAAAACGCAGACTGATTATTTCTGCTCTCGGGCATTGGAATGAACTGCTAATAGAGTAGGGTACTGAACCAAAAATTGAATTTATAATATGTGGTGATTGTAACGTAAATTTTTTAGAAGAGACGAAATGTAAAACACAACTACTAGTGCTGTTGCAATCATATAATATATTTCATACAGTACAGTTCCCAACTACATATATAATAACTGAGACCAAAAGCTCTGCAATTGATAATATTTTTAATGATAATGCAAGGATAAATTCATATGATGTTATCTCTATTAGCAATTGACTATCGGATCAAGATGTTCAGTGTCTCATACTGAAAAATATCAATTACCTGGAGAAGAAAAAAGTGCAGGGAATCACAAGATTAGTAAATGAAGATTTAACTGCACAGTTTCTTAATAAACCACCTAATGAAAAATGGGAAAATATATATAAACTTAATGATGTAAACGAAATATTAAATTCATTTTTAAATAGGTATTTACTTGTCTATCAGTCATGCTTTCCTAAGCAAAATGTAACAAACAAACAAACACAATGATAATGGCTGCATAACAGCTGGAATAAGTACCTCCTGTAGATGGAAGGAATCTTTGTTCATTCTCAGTAGAAGCAATTACAATTATTTGTTTAAATCATACTATAAATCCTACTGCATGATATTAATAAGAGTAATAAGAGAAGCTAAAAGGAAATATTAAAATCAGTTAATTACATAAGCTGAAAACAAAATAAAAACTATCTGGAACATTATCAACACTGAAACAGGGAAGAATAACAATAATAATAAAGAATGTTTACTACAAACTTTTCAAAATAATAGTAAAAAAATAAATATTGATGAAGCTGCTCATAGTTTTAAT